AGCAGATCAACACCAGTTCTTCCTAGTCTTGTTCTAGTTCTTGTTTCGGTCTGAATACCATTACCTGTCAACAACCTGCACCACAAGTCGCCTCTATTTCCATCGGCTCCGCCCATTCATAAGAGCTTCTGCATCAAGTTATCCTGTTGCTCCGCCCCCTCGAGACCGCCACCAAAAACCTCTCCGGCAGTGTGTACAGCTCGATCACCATTGCTGTGCCTGTCCTGAAACTGCTCTTGGAACGAATCAAGGACTTTGGTAGCACTTACGATGGCTCCGTCATGCAGCCTTCAGTTGACCAAATGCTTTGGAAACTCGAACAATACGCAGCAAAAATCGGGAAGCAACAAATCTACTTTAATGCAACGATCCTTGACCCTCGCTTCAAGCTAGCGTACTTTGCGGATTATGCGGAAGGAGACATCTTCCCCTCGCCTGCGGCCATTCACGCTGACTTCATGCTTGACGTGAGGAAGTATCAAGTTTCCGCTGGGATGAATTCACTGCAGGATCTGGCGGATGAGAGCGATGATGACGGTTTCGCTCAACTCTTCAAACGCCCGCGCAGAGAGTTGCTGGAAGAAGAAGTTGAGCAATATCTCAACGGACCTCTCGAGAATAGAGCAGTTGATCCCCTTACTTGGTGGAAGGGGCATGCGGAAGCCTTTCCTACCTTAGGCAGGATGGCACGAGCGCATCTTTCTGTTCCCGCTACAAGTGTCCCTTGTGAGGCGCTCTTCTCCTCTGGACGCAGGGTTATAACCGATCACCGTGGCTCGCTCAGTGAAGTTTCATATGGAGGCCTTGATGTGTCTCCAGAATTGGTTGTTGAAGGGTGACTTGTAGTGTTAGGTGTACTCCCGTACTCAATGTATCCCCCATACTCAAAATTGTAACTCAAAATGACAAGCCATGGTGCGCACACAGTGATTGTGTCTGATATTGCACATTTGTGGGCAGCCCGGATTGTGTCTGATATTGCACATTAATGTATCGTGCGGATTAAAGCAAAAAAAGCAAAAAAAAGATACTACATACGCAGTGTACGTCTTGATGCCATCGCGCTGTACCGCCCGCAGGGAGATTTTTACAAGTTAAACTAACTCCCACTCGGTAACAGTCGGGGGATTACACACACTGTTTTGCAAGAACAGTGCAGCCCACCCCTCTTAAGGCAGAAATCAAAACCCTGACGTGCTGATCCTCAGAACACCCGCTTCAGGAATTGAACTCATCACATCCGCTGGATTCTATGAACAAAAGCCCATAGGTCAGACCATTACACTAACGTGAGTATCTTTCCAAACACCCCAAACTACTGGCCTCAAAAGCTTTCCCCTCCCGGTGACTTTGTCCCATCCCATCCCGGTGGGAGCCCATGGGACGCCCGGGCCGGTACCCGGGCCGCAGCAAACCCGGCCCATCCCGGACGGGACGGAGCCCTACTTGCGAGACAGGCCGGTGGAGAAAAAGAAATGGAACCAACCGAGGCGCGATCGTCACACCTCGTGAGGCCCGGCGAGGTCGTCCGCAAATACTGTAAATTATTTTTCACATCTGCCAAACCTCACCCACGGTCTCACTTGGAGCTTCAAGAAAAAAAGTTCAAACTCCGACGGTGAAGTGGGAGTCCTCCTGCAGCGGAACTAATCAGCACGATGGTAGCGTATTTAGGATAGTTTCTCCCTGTCATGCCATATTGCTTAAACCAATGGGACTGCGTTGCGTTTTAGAGCGACAAATGCTAAAATGCCCGCTTTTCTTGCAGGGATAGCTATGGCGAAGTAGCAGTGTCACAAACGAAAAGGACAAAGTGTGTATGGGCTTCAAAGAAGAGGAAGGTGCGTCCCATCCCATCCAGGCGCCTTGACCTGCCATGCTGAGTACGACGGCAGTCATGTTGGCCCAAAGATCTCTCCAAGTCCAGATGCTGGCGGGCTTCGTTTTGCTCACGGGCTTGTTTACCACTGTCGCAGCTGGTCATGGAGATGCAACCGTGCGGGAGTCCGCTGTCGCGTTCGGGGTACGGATGCGTATGATAGTTGTTCCAATGTCATTGAAATGTTTGTCTATCGGAAGGCTGACCACCAACTTTTACTCATCTCCCAGCTCAGCGCTCACATACGTCTTCGGCAAGCGTGTCGTCGGTCTTCCGCGCAGAATAAACAGACATCTCTTGTCGCAACCCCACGGCCTCTGCACACAGGCAACGGTCACCCCAAGTATTGTAGTAGGATATGTGCACCAGAGGCCGCTCTTCAAAACCGTTTCATTACATTTTTTATATTTTCTCTTAAAAACAAAGAAATGCCTACTTTAACTTGCTTCATCAACGTCAAAGACAGAGGGCTCCTCGTCACTTTCCTCTCCCGCAACGCCAGCCCGACTCCACTCTTGCACCTTGCTGTTACAATCTGCAACAACGGTCTCCATGATTTCCTTGGTGATAGCAAAGCAGTTTGGGCACTTGCTCTGCTTGAACATCACTCGAACACTGCTGCGGTGACGGCAACAACCGCAGGAAAGGGGCTGGCAGGGGGTGTTATGACCAGCGTTGTCGCATGGGAATGCATATCGAGTAACGTCAACATGCTTTCCAACCTTGACTACGGTGCGGCCTTGTGCATTTGGGCGTCGCGTGAGTGGGATGGCTGCCTCGCCTAGCAGCAGGCCGTCAGGCTCTGCGGTGAACCGATACAACCGCGTGGTCACCGGATTCTTGCCAGCCATTTTCCGGTTTTCCATATATCACAAAACACATGGGTTTCCCTGTCCTTTGCCGCCGCCGCACGGAGCAACTGCTTCCGGGTCTGTGGCATCTAAAACTTGATTTGCGTTGCCCAAGTCAATATGAGCGTGCCCGTTCTGAAATTTAGAGGACGCATTCTCCATACCCTTTGTGTCAACGTGCTAGGAGGGCTTCTTACACTTTCGCAGGGCGCCAAAGTTTTGCTAGTAGGATGTCCTTTTGGCTAGCGGTCCAGTGAACACTCCTACTTGATAAAACTCCACAGTAAGTAGCTATTAAGGTGAACAGACAAGCTAGCGTTGTTCCCCATACCTGGTTTAGTTATCCCACAACTTCTCAGGTCTGTTGGTTGTGTATGAACCGGCCACTCACAAAAGGAATGCTGAAAAGGCTGGAAAAAGGGAAGGCGGAGATGGAACCAGAAACAGCGACGCGCGGGCGTATGTGAGCGCTGAGTCTCCCAGGGAGCTAAAGTGGGTAGGGTTAGGGTTAGGGAAACCCCACACTCTGGGCCTCCGACGCGACTGCAGCTTTGCGAGCTACGCCGCCTGGGATCATATCCCTGATGCGCTAGGGTTAGGCCCAATCGGCCCAATTCGTCGACCGGGACTCTTCCCGAGCGTTTCAGACCGCCTATACGAGCAAGCACGTAACGACCATCGCGAGCGACTAGCGCCCCTTCTTGCCGACGGACGATCTGTCATCAGCATTCAACTTTGTACCCATCATTTTCATCATTGTGAAAAAGGTAAAGCTTATCTCCCAGTGATGCACCGTCTTTGCATTCTAAAATGATCTATTTCGCGAACAAAACTCGGCGATGGCTACGTACATCTACATTATGAACAAACTCTAGGAACGGGGCGCTAATTTCTGACGTAAACGGGACCGGGGCGGACAGCAGCGAACTTTGCCCTATTACGCCGGAAAATCAATCCGGCGACCACCGATAGTAGTATGCAGAGCCCTGCCTCGGCAAGCAGCACAGTTCTCAGCGTTTCACAGGGCATCCCGAGGCCCAGATAGTACCCAGCCCCCCCGTCTCTGAAGGTCGGATCGTTGACGTACCGCGCATCGCCCTCCCTAGCAGCCTTACATGCGTTAAAGTACAGGAAGCTAGCCGCTATAATGATCACGCTGTTCAATAGCCCACCCACGGAGAGTCCTCTGAGCATCACGTGGCGGGCCCGGGCTTCGGTGGAGCAGAAGTATGCGACGAAGCCCAGGACACCAAAGTTCATTGTCGCGAGGAATCCAAAGAGCAACGGCAGGAACGACATCTGCACCGACGGCGGCGGGTTGGCGGCGAGGGGAGGTACACGACTTGCGTTCCGGGCGGAGGCGGCGGGTACCAGGGTTGTCCAGGGGTCTGGAACTGACCGTAATTTGGGGTGGCTTGAGCGTCCGACGTTAACGGTTTTGACCCATTATCGATATGTGCACTTGCACCGCAGACAGGTTGTTGGTTTGGCGAAGAGGGAGGTGATTGGATCTGAGCGTATGGGCCTGCGCCGTACGATGTGCTGCCGTTCCTTTCCGAGTGTTCCATTTTGGCAATGCAGTTCAGCACTGGGCCAACTCTTGTATTGACGATGTTTTATACCTCTTGAGAGTGTTGAAGAAGTGTGAACGGCCATCAAAACAGGGCCAGATGATGGTGGAGGACAGTCGTAAGAATAATACTGCTTGGGAGTGTAAACGCACATCAAAATCAGCAGACCAGATGATCTTGGACGGCACATCATTGTGTGAAATTTTGTAGCTGTCTCTAGAGCTGTCTCTCTGAAGTCAATTCGACGACTGCCTGCTGGCCGCAACTCAACCGTAATATGGGTCCAATGGGAGAGTAGTTGAGGACCGGTGGTTACGTATATCTACGCCGTCTATTACAGGACATCATCCGGAGTGCGGACTATCACCCTGACTTGATGATCTACGACTTCCAAGCTAATGAGCGCGCAGGTGACCATAAGTTTCCAACGGAAGTTTGCGCAACCATTTCTTGAACTTTCCATGTACCTGCGTCAATGCGACGAGCATCCTTGTACAGAAACAACAATCAGTAACCGGCGGCAAAAAGCTCCTCAATGCCAACTGAGCAACCTAAACAGCTCCTGGTTCCGGATACTGCTCACAGAACTGCTGACTTGCTTCTTGCCCCGCCTCTATTAGGTTTCCTGGCAAAAGTCGACCGTTTGGCAGCCCCACCAGCCTTTCTGCCACGCGATCGCGTTGTAACACGTGATGAGCCTGTATACCGTTTTCATGTCATGTCAATAGAACCTCAGACGCCTGTGCTCCTTAAGCCCGTATGGTTTGAACTAAATGGTCGAATCGCCGATCTTCGAAATTCTGCAACATGAGCGCCAGGGGTCTCGGCAAAGAGGTTCAGCAGTTCTTGGATGCTCTAGCTGGGTTGCACGCTAGGCTGTCGCTGGTGCCACCTGACATCATCCAGACACTGGTGTTTTTGGTAAGCTTTGTTCACTGTGCTTTTTCACTTATTCAATGGTCCAATTTCACCTCAGTCAGGCGTGTAAACTGTTAGAAGCGGATCTTGCAGTTGCCTCAACGAAATTATGTTTACCATCCCAAGTACACGTTCAACCCTGGATTAGCAAGCACTTCGAGTGGATGCACCCTTTCGAGTATATTGCCCTTGCGGTATACCATCTGTGATTGTATAAAGGAGTTCATTTTTGACGCACTCATCGTTCTGTCAGGTCAGTTTTCAAGTACGTGCGGAAGCCCGAGGTGGGCTGTCAGAAGACGCTCAAGTTCGTCGAGCGTTGGAGCTCATGGCAACAGAGACATTGATCGATATCAAACCAAACGCGCTTCGTGGAGGGCGCTTGAATAAGATGATGCCCACCGTCATCGCAATAGGCATCTTCCAAGACATCGGCTTGGTAATTGGCACAAGTGTGGAATTTAGAGGAACACGTTTGGACAGGGCTGCGTTCCATGAGCGGCGTCAGCAGCGCTTCTCCGTCGGCATAGAGGTACCCACGACCCGCCTGCTCCCACTGGTTCAAAGAACTGTGGAGGATGATGTTTTGGTGAGAATGAGCAATGATCGATCTTTGAGCGTCGCCCATTCGCAACCTTCCGGTAGAACTGCAAAATTTATTCGAGCATTTAGGTGACATTCAAAGACCCTCCCAGTAGCATTGATCTTGTTCTGACGGGATTTCCATTGCAGGTTCGACTATCGAACCAGGGCCTACGTCGATGTCGCCCCGTGCAATGCATGTTTCTGCTTGTACCGGTCATGGTGGCCATCACACCTCCAGCCTTCCGATCTTTCGAATGGAGTGCTTCAAACTGCGCCAATAAACTGCGCAGAACACGCCGCTGTACACCTCTCACGCATGGATTTAACTTTCCATGATCTCTTTAGTATGTTGGATTCGAATATTCTTTAGGAAAATTTCGTTGATGTTATAAATTCCACCTTCAACTTCCCCTGTAAAAAGTCCGTGATGCTGTCCGCGATTTTGAACAGGTTTTCCCCACGCAATTTGCCCACAATTACAGATCCATTCGTATGCATAAAAAGAACAGGGGTCCTTTCCAGATCATCTAAAACCCCCAGGACTGTGATTTCACTCTTGAGGGCGGCAGCCCAGTATGGTACATCCTCTTCCGCAAAATCGAAAGAACCCACAATCAAGATGTCGGGCCTTTCGCCATAAAATACAAAAGGAGGTCCATCGACATCCAGAGCATCTTGAGGTAGACTGACTCCAATCTTCACAGGAATTTGGTCCATAGAAGCGATGATCTTAGAGGCCTGTCCGAGGTTTTGTGGGAGACCTTCTAAACGACTTCTGGCTGTTCGAAGTTTCTGTTCCAAGGCATGTGCCATGGCAGAGTTCACTGTGTCTGACGTAGGACGAAGAAAATAAAAGTGCTGCGTACAATGCGTACCCGTAAGTAGCTGACTATGTGCAAGAGTTGCAAAAGATGTTCCTACCGGAGGACCGAATCTCTCCTCCACAGCCCATCCGGGCCCCAATATCCCCAGCTGCCATTTGATGTCTCTGGGTGCCGTCATCGAAGGAAGGAAAAATCAGTTATCGTCTGAGGGGCTGATTAGATTCGAGTGACAGCTCTGGGAGGCAGCAGTACGGCAATCAAAACTGTCGTTGGAGTGGCAAGTAGGTAGATTCTTTTTAATGTTCACGCATTTATTTTCAAAAGCAAGGTGTAAGACGAAAGTCTGTGTAGCTTTGTATCACTTTGTGTAACACTTAATGTCAGACGCGTTTTGTGTTCAGAACGGCGATTTGGAGTAATTTCTTGCGTAGGAGTAAAATTCGTCCATATTGACGGGATAGTCGGCGACTCGCTACCCCACGGCGCCGGTGCCTGGAGCTGGAACACCCTGCGCTTCTGCCGGTATACCGACAACAAATGCCCGCGATCCCTCCCACGATCCCTCCTCCCGCGATTCCATTTGCCGACCCACCATGCCCACTCATAAATCTCGTCGTCCTCGTCGTCCTCCGCGTTTACCCGAACTTTCTCCCGAGTATCGTGCGTGTCGGCCAGGTCTTGCATATCTACGGAACGTGATTCCCTCAGAGTTCAATGCTGCGGACTTATCGGGAGGCAGGATGGAAGGCAGGATGGAATGCAGTTTGGACAAGACCATCACATATTGCTCTTGAAGGCTCGGATCGTCTTTGAGAAGAAGCTTTGCGTCGATTTCGTGTTGTCGCTTAAAGACAGTCCAGTCGGGTGAGCCTTCAGCGACGGCTATCAGCTTCCGGGTAAATCGCGCAAGCATTTCCCGCTCGCTCAAACAGTTAAGATCGCCGCTCCCCTCCATACCAGCAACGCAGAGAAGGGCAAATATTGGTTGACAAGCTCGAGGACCTCGACGGGGAGCGCAAAGCTCGCCGTAGCCACACTTACAGGTTGCGCCCCAGGCGGCATGGTGATGAGGTCTCAAAGCGATGAGGTCTGAAAGATTTTGGGAAGTCCAGGGAGGGTGGCAGGAGTGCGTCCCCTTATAAGCCTGGCGTGAGGTCGAAGCTCGGTCTGAGTCCCACCATTTAAGTACCTCAAACTGTCCCCCCTGCGCGAGGCGTCGTCACTAACGTAGGTATCAGGATCACGCGAAGTGATACGGGCGTTGGTTTTGTATGTAGGGTTGGTTTTCCTCATTAAAGGCGTCATCTGTTGCCCGTCCTCCCAACTCCCGTTCTCTTCAACCAACTCCATTGAACGCTACAAAGCAAGTCCTCCCCTCGAACACATTCAATGCGCGTACCGAAGACACACCTCAATCCGTCACTATGACCTGGCGCCAAGCGATGGCCTCCCCTCAATCAGCTGACTTCAAGCTCGCAGCTGATAAAGAGTTCCAAGCTCTCGTCGATAACGGTACTTGGGAGCTCGTACCCCGTCCGCGCAATCAGCGCGTACTCGGTAGTACTTGGGTACTTCATCAAATCTTCAATCCGGACGGTACTTTCAAGAAATTCAAGGGCCGCGGCATCGTTCAAGGTTTTCGTCAATCCAAGGGTATTGATTATAACGACACCTACGCTCCAACCCTACCCATGTCAGTTCTTCGCCTTTTCCTCTCCATTGCCGTCTCTCTCGGTATGGAAATCCATCAACTTGATGTCCCCAACGCGTTCTTACGCAGCGACATCGACGTACCCATCTATGTTGAACAATTTCAAGGCTACGAAGATCCGCACAAGCCGCGCGCAGACTGGGTATACCTCCTACGCAAGGCTCTATACGGTCTGAAGCAATCTCCGCTTCTCTGGTAACGTACCTGTCGGGGATATCTCATCTTCACTTGTATTTCATATTATATCTCTTTACTTCTACTTGATCCGAGACCCGGGCGGGCCACCCGAGCTCTCGGTGATACATTACATAAGGCGCCAAGCCTCACTGAAGCCACGCAAACCCCACTGGCTGCCCATATATAAAGCTGTCAGTCGAGCGGCCGCTGCGAAGAGCTTCTTACTTTTGTCTTCACTACAATACACTGCTCTCAGCCCTCTCAGAAGGGCCAAATATTGTCTACGTTTCCTCTGACAATACATGGTAGCACCACCTACCGCTAGCATCACCAAGACATTCCTCGTCAACGTCGCCCCTCTACCGGAGGTCGCCCTTACACTTGTTCACAAGCAAGAATGGACCAACAAACTCAAGCTATCGTTGCGGCTGTCGCAGCTGCTTTCCCTACTTGGGAGCGTGCTGTTATGCAAGACACCCAACGAGCCGAACGTTTCAGACTTCTTATGGACGCTTGCAAGAACAAGCTTGTCAAATACGATGGCGCCAAAGCTGCCAAAAAGATCGAAGAGTTTGTTACGTCTCACAGCAACTTCCTCAAGTCTCTCACTGTCCCGGCTGTACAAGCTGGACCAGACGGTACTCAAGCTGCCAACGCCATAGCCTTTACTATGGCAGAGTACGCTCCTACACTCACTACCTACCTCAAGGGTACTGCTCACGAGTGGTACAATACGACTTACGCCGCCGGCGCTCCCGCGAGTTGGACAGCTTTTCAAACGGCGCTTGTCGCTCACTTTTATCCTCGCAACTTGCATAATATGTTATGGACGACGCGCCCATACCATAAGCTTACCTACTGACAGCCGCCAATGTCAACCGCCAATGTCAAACGCCAATGTCAATGTCAATGTCAGTGTCAATGTCAGTGTCAATGTCAATGTCAATGCCACTCCCCCTCTCTCCTCCCATTTCGCCAATCCTCCCGCAATATTGCCGCTCCTCCTCTCTCCTCTCATTTCGCCAATCCCCCCTCGGCTTCTCCACATCCCCCACTACTTCTCCATAGCCAGCAGCTGTAGCAATGCTCTCTACGCTCGCCACGCACGCTCTAGGAGCATAGCTGGCGCCCCCCCCAGGCCCCTCTTGTTGTTGTTGTTCTCTGGCCTGCTGGGTTGCCTATCTATGAATAGCCGGCCTCTCTT